GCGCCCGGCCTGGCATCCTGCCCCTGGCATCCATCCCTTTCCGTTCACATTGCGCTGAATTCCCTTCTATCCGACGGCTGGGTGTCCTAGTTGGCCTTGATCCCCGAAGTGGAATGGCCCCATCGTGTGGAATGGCCCCACCGTGCGACACGCAATCACAATTGGGGGGCTTTGCGCAGTGGACGCGGAGAAGGTGGCCGATAAGCAGGAGGATCTATTTGAAACTACTTGGCTAAGCGCGGGAGGTGCGCTGAAACATTTAGCTTAACACAGACATCGGCTTAGCAGCACAGCCTGAAGCTGAGCTGGCACTCCTTCGCGCCCTGGGTAAAGCCCCTTCTCGATACGGGCAACGTTCCCTCGACCCTTCCTGGTCACGGGCTCGCAAAGAGAGTCGAGGTGACGGCCATCCAGGAGTCGCGTACTCACTGCAGACCGTGCAGAAAGTCAAGAGCAACCTCTCCACAAACTGCAACTTGTGGGAAGGGTAAACGTGTTTGCCCGCCACCAGAAGAACCGCACCTCCAACTCCATTCGACTGACTCGGGCGGGCAGCTGGGCACTCGCTCTGGGCAGGCACTAGAATCCTCGAGGCTGGGGCCACGAGCTCACAGAAAACACCAACACAAACCTCACGACCGATCTGGGGGAATTGTGCGAGGGCCGGAACACGGGCGAAGGCGGAGGGCCGTGGCTGCCTGTCCTTGGCCTCACGCTCGCCCGTCCACGGCGCCGTGGCCACAGCGAGCTCCACGGCCCGCCGTGCGCGCACGGATGAGGACTCCCACGGGGTCCCCACGGTCCGTCTCCAACTCCCCGACACGACAAGACGACCCACCCTCGCCCGCAGCCTCCCCCGCTCCCTCATCCGCCAAGGCACTACCCTGAATTGGAAAGGGGTCGCTGTCAGAAGCATTGCACTCGGTGCGAGAGGGGATCCACTTGAGCATCGCATTGTCAGCCGTGCGTGAACCCAACGCGACCCGAATTCTACCCCAGAGATACTACAATCGACCTGCAAGCCAGGCACGCAACCAGAAAGTTGATGGTCCGCCACAAAAAAAACTAAATCGTTGGAACGGAACTCCAGCGCCAGAGCGGAGACCGTCAGCTCGGCCCTGGGAACAGCTTGTCTACGTCCACCTAGCTTGGTTCACACCCCCGCAGCCAGAACCCACCCCCCCTACGGCAGGTTCGTGTCGTGCCGACCCCAGCGTTGGTTTTTGACACCGCAGGGATCGTTCAACCTTGAACGATCGGCCGCTGCCGCAACGTCCGATCGTTCAACATCGATCGATTCTGGGTCGCCGGCGGCGTTCAACCTTGAACGCCCGCGCTGGGGTCGCCGCTGGTCGACACGACGCAAACCTACCGTAGTCGTTCTTGTGGAGCGCTATAACAGCAGTGCCACACCTCCTGCGTCGCGGATCGGAGCCGTGGCGACCTCCCGAGCCATCTCCGAACAGCACGATTCTAGAATACTGCGGGTGTGGCCCTGTAGCCTGGAACGACGAACCACCATACTCTACCACTTCCTCATCTGGGAAACGAATGTGCTGCGGGGGGTGGGTCCAACTCACGGGGGGGATACCAGGCAACCCAAAAAAGGGTCTGCTCATGCTGGGTGGCGGCCTGTCCCGCCAAACTGTTAGACCCATCGGGCTCTGGTCCTGCCACCTTCCGACTCCAGACCACCCCTCTCGAAGTGCTCTGAAGTCTGGTGCCAGAGTTAGGCAGAGATATCGTCGAGTAGCTCGTCAAGCAACTCGGCGACATCCGCATCGTGAGCTTCGAAACCTGGATCGCTAGCCTGCGGAAGCTTCCGCATGTAATCGCCTGCAGACGTGTGACGCGTCCAAGCGTGACCATCTGTGGGAATCCATCCTGCATCGAACAAGACAGCGATCACGGCACTCACGGGTCCCGTAACCCTAATCCACCTGGTTCTCGGAGCGTGCAGCGTGGGGCGGAGTAACGACCACGCGCGAACCACCCGCGGGTGCAGGCATGGGGTCGATCGCCACACCATGAACCACTCGAAAACCAGTTGCCGTCGCAATTCTAAAGCCGGCTCTTTGCGACCCATGCGCAGTGCCACGATAGAGGTTGAAAATTTCCCAGTGCCTCTGCCTGCGATACTCTGGGCAGCTTGACGCCTGAGAGTTCTAACAACAGACGGAGGGAAACCATTACATTGGTGACCATACGAAGCCTGAGGGAGAGCCCCAGTGGTCCACAAGCCTTGAGTGGTCCTACTCAAGCGAGC